AACCCAGCAGCCTGGGCGCCACTGACCACCTGTGGGCCACACCCATTGCTTCTCAACTTCCTCGTGGCCCCACCAGCTACCGGTGGTTTGGGTTCTCCCTGGTGCGTGCTGTATGTTTTCAGGCCTCCAAGCCTTTGCAGGTGCAGTGGCCTCCGCCTGGGATGCCCTTCCTCCCTGCCCCAGCCCCATCACTGAGTCAGCCTGCACATTTCTGAGTCTCCTGCCAGTATGGCCCCAGCCCTTTGATGCCCATGTCCTCTCACTGTCACGGGACTGCCGTTCACACACCAGCCCACACTCAACAATTCGCTCCAAGGGGCGGCAGATCATGTCTTTTTAAATTTGTTTCCCAAGTACCTGACATCTACAAGGTACTCAATAAGCATTTCCTGAATGAAGGCACACGCCCCGGAATAATACACAGCTTACTCTAAACTGAGGACCGACACACAGTGATGTGGGCTTGTGTTTCCTCTACAGTCAAGAAAGGAAATGACTTCACGTCCCAAGGGACCTCAAAGAAGCAGCTGTCCTTCAGCATGGTGTCACTCTCGGTAGCTTCACCCAGATCTGGGGATGAGCAATGTAGATCTGAAAGCAAGAGCCAAACTCAAAAGAAAATGAAAGAACTCCACTTGGAGGGGTTCACTGCAGAGACACCGACGGTATGCCAAGAGCTGGGTGCGGTGGCTCACACCTGTAATCTCAGCACCTTGGGAGGCCAAGGCGGGAAGATCGCTTGAGCCTAGGAGTTCAAAAGCAGCCTGGACAACATAATGAGACTTATCTCTATAAAAAAAATTTAAAAACTAGCCAGGTGCAATGGTGCACACGTGTACTCCTAGCAATTTGGGAGGCTAAAGTAGGAGGATCACTCGAGCCCAGGAGTTGGGAGCTGCAGTGAGCTATGATCATGCTACTGCACTCCAGCCTGGACAACAGCCCCTGTCGCCCTGTCTCAAAAAAAAAGGAGGTCAAGAGATCTATATCCGTATAAAGATCTGTAAGTACAAAGCCTAAAAACCACCCAAATATAAAACATACATCAGGAGATGTCTGGCTAATGAAATACATGCTATGGAGGCCAGGCACAGTGGCTCTCTCCTGTAATCCCAACAATTTGGGAGGCTGAGGCAGGCAGATCATCTGAGGTTGGGAGTTGAGACTAGCCTGGCCAACATAACATGTTGGATTTACGACTTTAGATTAGTAATGTTTGAAACTACTACTTTGTTCAACTGTATTCCCTCTGCCAAGTTCATGTATATACCTAATCTATTTCTATCTCAGAGGCCCGTCTAATCTTCCCAACACTGGGAGTGGTTTCCATGCAGTGATCTTACAAGCATTCTGTGATGAAAGAAAACTATGCCTGTTAACAGTTGACCTGCAGGCAGTGACTGTCAGTAACAATTACATGTTCTTCTGACCATGGATTCATTTAATCTCTTTGAAATTAAGCTTGGATTTTTTAAAATGAATGTACAAAGCTCAGCAGAGAACTTGAAGGAAATAGCAAGGCTAGAAGAGCAGAATATAGAAACTCACTTGGCCAGGCATGGTGGCTCATGCCTGTAATCCCAGCACTTTGGAAGGCCAAGGTGGGTGGATCACCTGAAGTCAGGACATGGTGAAACCCTGTCACTGCTAATAACACAAAAATTAGCTAGGCATGGTGACAGGTGCCTATAATCCCAGCTACTTGGGAGGCTGAGGCAGGAGAATCACTTGAACCCAGGAAGCGGAGGTTGCAGTGAGCCAAAATCTTGCCACTGCACTCCAGCCTGGGCAATAAGAGCAAAACTCCATCTCAAAAAAAAAAAAAAAAAAGAGAAAGAAAGAAAGAAAGTCACTCAATGACTCAATAAGAAAGAGTTCATGCAGGGGATGAATTACAACAGCAAAAAGCATGGACCCTTTCCTTGTACCATGTATGTCTGCCATGAGCACACTTTTCTTATTCATTCCACACCCTGTACTTTTAATATTCACAACCACAATTGCGCTAGCCGGCCTCCTGGATGGCCCCCGTGAGCTTTGCTGCCTCCTGGTATTCATACCCTTGGTGATCACCTCCCATGCTGAATCGGGGCTGGGCCCATATGGCAGGAGTAATGGTGTGCGCCTTCCAAGGCCAGGTGCTAAGAGATCCTGCAGCTTTCTCCCTGTCTCCTGGATTGCAGGCTCTTGAGGAAGCCGGCTGCCATGCCTGTGGACGCTCGAGCAGCCCTGTGGAGAGACCCACAGAGAGAGGAGCTGAGGCCCCCAGCCAACTGCCAGCACCAATATGCCAGCCATGAGAAGGAGCCACTTTGGAAGGCAACCCTCTGGCCTCAGTCAAGCCCTCAGACAACTACAGGCACAGCCAACATCCCACTGCAGCCCACGAGAAACCCTCAGTCAGAACTGCCGGCCAGGTTCCCACATTCCCGAGCCACTCCCACTTTCCCGAGCTATGGACACTGTGAGAGAAAATACATGATCATTATTATTTTAAGCCACTATGTTTTGGGGTGATGAATGTAGCTTTAGATAATACAAATATCAACAAGTCATAAGGGTAGAATAATGACAAATTCCAGTTACAATCTTCCAAAGCTTGTCATATTAACACATAATTCTATGTTCCTGTCTTGAGAACTGATCATTCATTAAAGTTGAATATAGGTTTACACAAGAAAATATATAATATAGCATATTGGTATTTTATAGTCACTGAGACCTACTAGATGTTATGTTAGGTGCAGCTAGATTAGATATAATTAATGCCACAAATCAGCTAAGAAAATTCCTCTCTGGCTTCACTATATTCCCAGAAGACATCAGAAGAGTGTTCTATTTTTCTTAAAAACATTCTCTTTTGGCCGGGCGCAATGACTCACACCTGGAATCCGGGCACTTTGGAAGGCTGACGTGAGCAGATTGCTGGAGGTCAGGGGTTTGAGGCCAGCCTGGTCAACAGAGTGAAACCCCATCTCTACCAAAAAACACAAAAATTAGCCAGGTATGGTGGTGCATGTCTGTAGTCCCAGCTACTTGGGAGGCTGAGGCAGGAGAATCGCTTGAACCCAGGAAGTAGAGGTTGCAGTGAGCCGAGATCGTGCCATTGCATTCCAGCCTGGGCAGCAGAGAAAGACTGTCTGAAAAACAAAAATAAAAAAATAAAGCCAGGCGCAGTGGCTCATACCTGTAATCCCAGCACTTTGGGAGGCTGAGGTGGGTGGATCACGAGGTCAAAAGTTTGAGACCAGCCTGGCCAACATGGCGAAACCCCGTCTCTACTAAAAATACAAAATTAGCCAGGTGTGGTGGTGCTCACCTGCAGTGTGACTCTAAAGGCTGAGGCAGGAGGATCGCTTGAGTTTGGGAGGTCAAGGCTGCAGTGAGCTGTGATCATGCCACTGCACTCCAACCTGGGTGACAGACTGAAACACTGTCTCAAAAAAAAAAAAAAAAAAAAAAAAAAGACAAGCAATCAATGAAAAGCAAATTGGGCCTTTCAGGATCTATAGACTATGATCAGCTTTACAAGTTCCTTGCCAAACGTTGCATGAAATTTCAAGAAAGGAGTCTAAATTGTTCACTCATTTCAGACTCAAAGATTTGAAACCCTTTTTTCTGTCGAGTGGTTCCCGCTCTGGAGGCTCCCAGCCGGCTGCTCTGCTCTCAGAGCAGGCTCTCAGGCGACAGCATGGTCTACTCAGGAGAAATAAAACTCTCCAACCATTTTCGAGGCAATGTTTTCCAAATACTCGGCCTGTCATGCACAAATACTGGTCCTGCCTCACAAAAAGTCTGGCACAATTTAGTCCAACCCAACCCGATGGATGCAGAATTAACAACCTGGCTAATGATTGAGCCAAACCACCTGTTTATTATTTTCTGCTGGGCGCAGGTTTGACTTTGGCCCCACATAGTACAGTCCCAGGACCAGCGGCATCAGTGTCACCTGGGAACGTGTTAGAAATGCAGACTCTCAGGCCTCAGCCTAGGCTCCTGGCCGGGAGCCGTCAATTACTTTTGTCTGCAGGACATAAAGTGTGAGCACCCTATGCTGACGCTCCGGGATGGGCAGTGATGGTGTGGCCTCTACACCCAGGTGCCCAGGCTGCTCAGTCACCCCTCAGGAACACAGGACACAGAGCTCAGCTTGTGTTCTTGTTCATTTTTATTTGATTGGCTTTCTCTCAGTGGGGAAATGCACCTTCCTTCTTGCCCCGCCCAGTCTCTGCTATACACAAATCCAAACAAATTCTTCCCTAGTCCTGGCCTCGGTGCCTATAGCACTTCCTCACGTGCCCCCTAACTGGTCTTGTTCTCATCTGCACCAGCTCCGGGTGCTCCACCCGAGAATCATCTCTGGCCCCACAGGGAGACATGGCAGTTCCTTGTCATACACAGGCTGAGGTGGAGTGACCAAAAGGAGAAGAGCAGATCTCGAGATATTGTGGCTTATACTTTGTCCTACAGATTTAGGCATATATAGGTGTGGTCACACTTAAATTGTGTGATGAAGCCAGCACATCCATGGAGAGCGTGCCCAGCAGGGAGGAGCGCTGCACAGCCTTCAGCTGGCTGTAGTCAGCACCCATGAGCACTTACTTATTCATCATCCAGCAGGCTTACTGGCCCCCGGCTGGGTGCTGAAAATACAAAGATCCGTTGAAATGTGAGTCCCTCCGCTCAGGACATTCAGTCTGGGGAAGGAGGTGGAGATGTAAACAATGACAATGCCAGCCTCTGCCCAGGGGACAGTGAGAGCACAGATGACTGGCAGCTGGCCCAGGCTGGGAGGAGCTGGCACCCAGCCAGGCTGAGCCTCTTAGCCAAACAACAGCAGGAGGTCCACAGTGCCAGAGAGGATGGGGACCGTGTCCCAAGCGGGAGGCAAACGTGTGCAAAGGCGTGGAGCTGACAAGTGGGGAATTCTGGGTCATGACAGGTTCCCACAGAGCGCTGAGCAAGCTGAAGGGCATCCAAAGCTGGTGGGAACCACGCAGGGTCTTAGAAAGCATCGTGACCAGATTTTCCTGCTAAATATCTGGCTCTCAGGTGGGAGCTGGTGTGGGAGGAGAGAGCCTTGACATTTCCTTCTATTTTCGAAACATTCTTTAAATATATATATGCCCCCTCACCCTATTCTTTTAAAACTGAGTTGGCAACCCATTTGTGATTGAAGATGTAACTGAAACTGACATCTGTCTGTCTGACTCATAGCTGTCAAAGCGGTGGCTTCCACATGACATTCTGGGCTTTGGGACATCTATTTCGCAGGTGTTCATTGATGTCTTCTAACTTGATTTTTTTTTATGTACAAAACTTAAATAGTAACCTTTTCCAAAAGCGAAAGGGCTCGACATTGTTAGTCACAGAAAAATGCAAATTAAACGCACAATGAGATACCACCATACACCCACCAGAATGGCTAAAATTAAAAAGACTGACAATACCAAATGTTGGCAAGGGTGTGGAACTCTCATGTTCCCAGCAGGTGGGAGTGTAAAATGGAAGAACCACATTGGGAAACTGGTGGTTTCTATTAAAGTTTAACACATGTCTACCTTATAACACAGCAATTCCATTCACAGACACACTCTCAAAATACATTAAAGTCTATATCCACATGAAGATGTGGACAAGAATGTTCAGGACAGCTTTATCTGTAACATCCAAAAATTGCAAACAACCCAAATATTCACCAAGAGACTAGCTAAGCAAAGTCTGCTATAATCAACCCTAGGATACTACAGAGCAACAAAAGGAGAACGAAACCCTGATCATCACAGCAACACCAGTGAAACTCACGCATATGACACTGAACAAAATATCCCAAACACCAAAAAGTGCATGCTGTTTGATTCCATTTAATGAAATCCAAGGACAGGCAAGATTAATACTGTATATGGTAATAAAAAATAGTGAAGAGGGTTATTAGAAAGTGGCACAGAGAACTTTCTGGAGTAATGGAATGATATCTTAATCTGTGATATTTACATGTGCATGTTCATTTGTGAAAATTCATTGAACTATACCCTTAAGAGTTAGTTGTACCTTTCACTGTATGCAATCTCTCAATGAAGTAATGACAGCAGAAAAAGCAACTTTGCCACCGCAGTTATACAAATGGTAAATAAGCCTATGAAAAAGTGCTCAACATCATTAGTCACTGAGTCGCGAAAAATGCTCATCTAAACCAGAGTAAGAAACCACTTCACCCCTGTGGTGGTGATGAAAATGCACTTCACCCCATTAGGATGGCTACTATTTACAACACACCAATATACAGAAAATAACAAGTGTTTGGTAAGGATGGGAAGACACTGAAACCCTTGTAAATTGCTGGTCAGAGTCTAATGCAGTGCAGCCACTGTGGGAAATGGTTTGGTTGTTCCTCAGAAAGGCAAACATAGAATTGCCATATGATCCAGTAATTCCACTCCTAAGTATATTTCCAAATGAGTTTCAAGCAGAGGCTGAAACAGAGATTTGTACACTCATGTTCATAACAGCATTATTCTCAATAGTGAAAACGGGAATACCCAAATGTCCATCAACAGATAAAAGAATTAGCAAAATGTGGTATATACATATGATGGAACATTATTCAACCTTTAAAGAAAAAGGAAAATGCGGATACATTTATAACATAGATGAACACTGAGAACATTATGCTAAGTGATATAACCCAGATACAGAAAGACAAATATTCTATGATTCTATTTATGCAAATATCTAGAATAGGCAAATTCATAAAGACAGAAGGTAGGTTAGAGGTCGCCAGGGGCTGAGGGAAAAAGGGAAGGAGGAGGAAGAGGAACTGGGGAGGAGAGGGATGATAGAAACACTTTGGAAATAGTGGTAACGTTTGCACAACATTGCAAATGCCACTGAATTGTACACTGGTTACAATGGTTAAAATGAACAGTTTTATGTTACATATATTTCACCACAATTTTTAAACTTAGTAACAGAATGTGCCTCAAACTATCGCGTTGTATACTTTAATGGATGAACTGTCAATAAAGCTGTTAAATAGGGAAAGAAAAAAAAAGCAACCTAGAGGTACACACAACATGGCTAAATCCCAAAACCTTTATGTTGAGTGAAAGGATCCAGGCACAGTGGAGCACACACTGTGTGATTCCCCTGAAGTTTCAGTACTGGCTCAACTAATCCACGGTGACAGAAATGTGAACAGGTCTTTGCCTCTCATGGGACAGGGACTGAGTAGAAAGGGGCAAGGGGAAATTTACTGTGGTGATAGAAATGCTCTATGTCTTGAGTCGGGGGATGACTGCACAGGTGCATATATTTGTCAAAATCAAAGAGCTGGTTGTTTAGAATTTGTGTGCTTTATCACATGTCAATTATACCTCAACAAAGTATTTTTTCTTTTCCTTTTCTTTAAGACAGGATTTCTCCATGTTGCTCAGGCTGCTCTCAAACTTCTGGACTCAAGCGATTCAACCACTTCAGGCTCCCAAAGTGTTGGGATTATGGGCATGAGCCACCACATCTGGCTAACCGAGTATCATTAACACAAAATATGACCCGCCAGGTGTAGTGGCTCATGCCTGTAATCCCAGAACTTTGGGAGGCTGAGGTGGGAGGATTGCTAGAGCCCAGGAGTTCCAAGACTAGTCTGTGCAACATAGTAAGACTGTCTCTAAACATCTTTAAATTTTTTTAATTGAAAAAAAAAAAAAAAAACCGTGGCCAGATGCAGTGGCTCATGGCTGTAATCCCACCACTTTGGGAGGCCGAGGCGGGTGGATCACTTGGGGTCAGGTGTTCAAGACCAGACTGGCCAACATGGTGAAACCCCATCTCTACTGAAAATACAAAAATTAGCCAGGTGTGGCAATGCACACCTGTAATCCCAGCTACTTGGTAGGCTGAGGCAAAAGAATTGCTTGAACCTGAAGACAGGCAGAGGTTGCAGTGAGCCAATATTGTGCCATTGTGCTTCAGCCTGGGCAACAGAGCAAGACTCCACCTCAAAACAAAACAAAACAAAACACTGTAAAATATGGTGAAAATGCAACAACGCACTGAGAGTGCCAGCAGGGGCAGGCTAGAAGTCAGAAAGCACTCAGAAGCCTCCTAGGAGTCACCAGGTAGAGATGAAGCCACTAAATGGGGTGGCTGCATCCAGGTGCTGAGAGGAGAAAGTAAACTTAGAAGAGATGGAGGCTGCAGAAGAGACACCTTCTTCTCCATCCAAGACACACCTGGATTGGGGTGGGGGATGGGAGGAAAAAGTAGTAGTGATTGGCTTCTGACTTGGGCCCCTCAAAAGGATATCAAAGTCATATGAAAGAAAAGGAAGACAGCAAGAAGTCTAGTACTGGTAAACAAGTCAAGATCCAGAAATCCAAAACAAAAAAGAAAAATCACATGCATATACAAGATATAATCAACTTGCATTAGCAGTTCATATTAGAACACATAATTAGATTGTGCTGTTGTCTGAGAGACTGTTATGATTTCAGTTCTTTTGCATTTGCTGAGGAGTGTTTTACTCCTGATTATGTGATCAATTTTAGAGTAAGTGCCATGTGGTGATGAGAAAAACATATATTCTGTAGTTTTGGGGTGGTGCATTCTGTAGATATCAGGTCTGCTTGATCCAGAGCTGGGTTCAGGTCCTAAATATTTGTTAATTTTCTGTCTTGATGATCTAATATTGTCAGTGGGGTGTTAAAGTCTCCCACTCTTATTGTGTGGGAGTCTGTCTCTTTGTAGGTCTCTAAGAACTTGCTTTATGAATCTGGGTGTTATGTGTTGGGTGCATATGTATTTAGGATAGTTAGGTCTTCTTATTGAACTGAATCCTTTACCATTATGCAATGCCCTTCTTTGTCTTTTTTTATCTTTGTTGGTTTAAAGCCTGTTTTGTCAAAAACTAGAATTGCAGCCCCTGCTTTTTTCTGTTTTTCATTTGCTTGGTAAATTTTCCACCATCCCTTTATTTTCAGCCTATGTGCATCTGTGCATGTGAGGTGGGTCTCTTGAAGAAAGCATACTGATGGGTCTTGACTCTTTATCCAGCTTGCCTTCTGTGTCTTTTAATTGGGGCATTTAGCCCACCTACATTTAAGGTTAATATTGCTATGTGGGAGTTTGATCCTGTCATCATGATGCTAGCTGGTTATTTGCAGACTTGTTTATGTTGTTGCTTCATAGTGTCACTTGTCTGTGTACTTCAGTGTGTTTCTGTAGTGGCTGGTAATGGTTTTTCCTTTCCATAAGAGCTACCTTCAGAAGCTCTTGCAATCCAGGCCTGATGGGGACAAATTCCCTCAACATTTGCTTGTCTGAAAAGGATCTTATTTCTCCCTCACTTATGAATACTTAGTGGATACTTGGGTGGATATGAAACTGAGTTGGAATTTTTTCTCTTTGGGAATGTTAAATATTGTCTCCCAATCTCTTCTGGCTTGTGGGGTTTCTGCTTAGAGATCCACTTTTAGTCTAATGGACTTCCCTTTGTAGATAACCTTGCCTTTCTCTCTGGCTGCCCTTAACGTTTTTGCCTTCATTTCAACCTGGGAGAATCTGATAATGATGTGTCTGGGGGTTGACTGTCTCATGGGACATCTTACTGGGTCTCTCTGCATTTCCTGAATTTGAACGCTGGTCTGTCTTGCTAGGCTGGGGAAGTTCTCACAGATGGTTTCCTGAAGAATGTTTTCCAAATTGGTTCCATGCTTCCCATGTCTTTCAGGTACCCCAATCAGTTATAGGTTCAATCTCTTTACATAATCGTATATACCATGGATACTATGCAGCCATAAAAAGGAACAAGATTATGTCCTTTTCAGGAACATGGATGGTGCTGGAAGTCATTATCCTCAGCAAACTAATGCAGGAACAAAAAACAAACACTCCATGTTCTCACTTATAAGTGGGAGCTGAATGATGACAACACATGGACACACAGCAGGGGATGAATGCACACAGGAGCGTGTCAGGGGCCGGGGAGGGAGAGCATCAGGAAGAATGGCTCGAGAATGCTGGGTTTAATACCTAGGTGATGGGCTGATCTGTGCAGCAAACCACCATGGCCTCGGCACACCACCTATGTAACAAACCTGCACATCCTGCACATGCCTCAGAGCTTAAAAGTTGAGCAAATAAAATGAAAGCAAGCATAATTAATTTTAAAGCGTGCTGGCACATAATTAAGTCATGCTGTTGTTTTGGTTTGGCTTAGGTTTTTCTCTGAATTGGAACAATCTGTTCAGCTTATGCCAAAAACTGAGATCCCCCAGGCACAGGCGAAACATGATCTTTTCAAACTTTTCCATGAGTCAGCGAAGGCAGTTTCACTCGAGTCCTGGGACACGTAATTCCAGGAAGCGCTTCGCCTGCCCTGGTACACTCAGCCTTCTCCCTCTCCAGTTTCAAGCCATCACACCTGCTCGTTCACAGAGGAGGCAAAAAATGGATGATGGACAGAGATTTCCAGAGTCATGATCATCCAGATGACGGCCACTAGAAAAGACGGAGAAAATATCCAGGGCTGCAATGCAGGGATGAGCCCGGGAAGACGGCATCGCGAGCAACGACTGAACCTCTGAAGATTCGTTTCATCTCTTAAGGGGTGTCCAGGCCTCTCCTCTGCACATCAGGCCCCACTCGAGGATTCTGAGCCCTACTCCTTCAGTTACGCAGTAACTGCCTGTAGTAGGTTGAACTGAATCTCCTAGAAAAGATATGTCCACATCCCAACCCCGGTCCCTGTGAATGAGACTCTGTTGGGGAACAGCATCTTTACAGATCATAATTAAGGATGTGAAGATGAGATCATCCAGGAGATGAGACACAGATGTGCAGGGAGGACAGATGAGGACAGAGGCAGGGAATGGAGCAAGGCTGCCACACACCACAGAAACCCTGCTCCAGCAGAGGGAGCGAGGCCCTGCTGTCACCTGGACTTCAGACATCTGGCCCCCAGAATTGTGAGAGACTCCACTTCTGACGTTCAAGCCATCTACTCTGTGGTCATCTGTCACAGCAGCCTTAGGAAAAAACTCCACTGCCTATCTGGCACCACACCACCCATGTCCTGCAAGCCAGTCCTCCACCTGGCCTCCTCCCTCCTCTCCTGCTCAGGATGTCACCCTCGGGGCTGGCCCCCAACAGGCACCTGCCTCTGGCCTGTCTCCCCTCCACCCTCCACAGCCACAGGACACACTCTCTAGAGACAGCGATCCATGTCTGATGTTTTCTTCCTGCTTAAAAACACCCGTTCCTGCAACTCTTGAGTGACTTGCCGTAGGAAAAGCCCAGGACTGGCCCTGCTGGGTTCCACCAATCACCTGGGGAGTGAAATCCCATCTGCTCAGCCCAGCTCCTTCAACTCTATCTACAATTCGCCCATCCTCTACCAAGTCCACCACCACTCCTGCTGCCCGTACCTGGAATCACTTTCCTATGCCCCACATGCAGTCAAATCATGCTTTCCCCTGAGGCCCCCACATCAGGTTTCCCAATGCAGAATCCCGCCCACGTCGCAGGCAGCTCTGGGTTCCTGTCCTGTATCAGTGACTTCCTTTCCTGTTACCTCATTTTCTGCTGAGGAGTCATTCTCCTTAGGTTCCCATCTTACCCCACCTAACTGGTCAAATACCCTCTGAGGGCTTCAATTTTGAGGCCATGAACCTCTTGTGGCTCCCAGGGCCTTCCAGAACACGTGCCCTTGGTAGCATAGGGATGAGAGCACGCACGAAGGGAACAGGTAGAAAAAAGGATGTTTGTTTTTAAAACGCATATTTTCTGCAGCAATGGAGATCAATAAACAAATACGTGATACTTTAAACATCCCCCCACCCCGAATAAGAAGTAAGAAAAAGCTTTAAATAAGGAATAGATCTGTGACAACGACGAGAATTCCTGCCCCTGGAGAGGGGAGAAAAATCCCTATGAGCCGACAGCTCCCACACGTGTTGGCTCCTTGCTGTTGAGTCTCTGAGCTTTGCTCTCTGCAGAGACTCCGGAGCAGGTTCTGTCTTGCCACAGGACCACAATTTGGCTCAGAGCCAGCGCAGGCCTTGGGTCTGAAAAAACTGTAGCTCGACAGGCCAAGGGTAGCCTTGTAGCAGAAGAGATGAACTCTCCTCAAATGGGAGAGGTTCATGGGAGGTGAGGGTGAGCGACTTGGGAGGGGTTGTGTTGGGAGGGGTGGGGGTTTGTGCTGGAATGGGGACCCAGGTGAGCCAGGGTCAGGGGAGTTGAGTCAGGGTGAGAGGGCTGAAGAGTAAGTGGGAAATTGAATCAGGGTCTCATGTGAGCCCCCCTAACCGGGAGGTGGTGACTTGGAGCGGGGCTGGAGAGGGGAAGTCTCAGGGCTCTGGAGGTGAGCTAGGGTTGTGGGAGTTGGGCTGGAGTCGTGGTGAGCAGAAGGCTGAGCCAGGGTGGGTCTGGGATGAGCAGGGTCGGGTGTGGACTGAGATGGGGAGGAGGTACACGGGTGCAAGGGACCAAAGGCACCAAACAGTCAATGTCATACAACAAATGTGCAGATGAGCACTGCGCGGAGCTCTCCACACGAAGTCGGTGTCTAAAGGGAAGGAGAGTATTCGCTCACTGCAGATGGGGCAGTGCATTCACTGACGGTGCAGGTTTTGCT